TGGCTTACTAAACCATTTTAAGCATTATTYTTTTAACTCTGCCAGACTATTTGGTTGGGTCCATTTCTGCTATTAGCTGCTCACGTCCTGCCATTGTCTTCAGTTAGATGACAAGTCCTCCAGGGCAATAGTGTGCTTATGTTAGCCGTTGGAACCAAGAGTGGAGTTGTGAGCTCCCATGGGGAAATAAGTTTTTAAAAGTAGATGTTAAATATTTTAAGAGCACTTCTGTTGTTATTGTCTTTTGTCTTTCCCCTGTGAGTCTGTAGTCTGTGGATTTTTTCTTTTTCAGCTTCTTTATGCCTAGTTTCTGTGCCATGTTGGCTATTTTTCGAAATCTCTTCACCCCAGGAACCAAAACACCCAACTCTTTTCCCATCTGTACTATTGCTTGATCTTCTATAGCTCTGAAACACAATGCAGGGCTTCTTCTCACTCAACTCTTTCCGGGTTTGTTCTGCAGCTGTGGAGTTTGAATGTTAGTGTTTAAACAAGCTGGTATTACACAGGAAATGGCCACCTCCACAGGCCCCTGCAGGCTTGTAACATGGGGTCATTGTACTTGATATTAATCACCAGTCAGCCTGTTCCCTTAGTGTGTGAGTACTTAGTCCTTTCTTAGTCTCTCCAGAAAGAGACTGAGTCCTGGATGGACCCTTCCAAATTATCATCTTCCTTCAGCCCCACCCCAATTGGAGCCTTCAGAACAGATCATCTCTGTTTTCTATAATGCTGGTAGATGTGCCTTTCTTCCTGAGTTTCAGGCAAGGAGATAGATTATTGTGGTATAACTTGCCTCACATATCTCACACCTTAATCTTTCAGGGCATGTGTATTTGGGTAATACCTCCTATGAGAGAACTCTAAAATTTCAGAAACACAGAAACCCACTGGCCCATCTGAGAGCATGGCTTCTTGATTCTCTGGACTGAAGCCACTTTTCTAATGCTATTTGCAGAACTAACCCCAGCCTGAAGGGTTAATCTGATTCCCCAAGTCAATATCCCCCAACCAGCCAGCCAAGAGTGTGTGTTGGTTCATTTCTGTGAAATGTGTTTCCCCAGTCACCTGGGCTGGCCTGGGCTGCATTGTATCGGCCAGCAGCTGCACTGCACTCAAACTGACAGCTACATTAAACCTTGGAATTCTGAGGCAATAAAAAGTAAATTAACTCTTATTTTTTTCCTTTCCTGGTGGAGTAAGTGAATGCATGTCTGTAGGGAAGTGAGTGGGCCTTGGTTCTGAGCACATACCTCTAACTAGTCAGTGCTGGTCTGTCCCAAGCTAGAATCTGGTGTTCAGACACTCCAGCCAGGGGTCTGCTTTCCTTGTGTGTGGTGTGTTCTGTGGGGTTGGGCCAGTGGGTCACCCTGCAACTGCTGATCCTTGTGCACTAATCACATCCCAGCTGCTGAGAGACTCCCTTGCCATAGTTCTGGGAGCCATAAATTGGTTTATTGAGTAGTTTCATTTTCTCTGGCTGCTTTGTGTCTGCTTGGTGAAGAGTGCACCCTAATTTTTGTGGAATTTTGTGGACTCTGGGAGCTTCCCCAAAATAAAAGTTGAACCAGAATGAGCAAGAAGAACTTAACAGACTGTAGCACTCTAGAGGATCCATTTAGAATCAAAGGTGGCTTGAGAATAGCAGAAAGAATTTTTTTTTTTGGGGGGGTCATTGTCCAAGCCTTTCCAGAAGATTGGGAGCTGTATAAAGCTTCTTCATAGCCAGAAGAATTTGATTTTTAGTTACTTAGCCAACTTTGAATCCTGAGGGTCCAAGGACTGCTGTGGGGTGAAGGTTAGAAGGTGCTTCTGGTTGGAATAAGGAACTAAAGCCGGACAAAGCTAAGCTTTTCCCTTTCCACTCAGACAGGAAACTGACCTCCCAGCCCAGAGGTCTGATTGGGGTAAGCTGAGGTGACGTTGCCAGAGTTCCAGGAATTACCTTATGAGTTCAGGCATCTCACCTAGATTTTCAGAGGACCTCTCCCTTTTAATATTAGTTTCCTGACACTCTCTCTGTCTGTACCTCTGCAAAGAGTTGAGATACCAGAAGAAAGTAGCTACTCAGTTCAGATACAAGATCAGGCTGCATTGACCAGGGCAAAAGTGACCTTTCATTGAAGCATTTTGTGTATTCCCTTGATTCCGATCAGTCTAACTTTACCCTTGGTCCACTTTTATTTGTATTTCTGAGTTGGGAACTCAGGGCACTTCCTATGTCTTTTGGCACCAGCTGCTGTCTTACAAAGTGAACATTAGGGTGGGAATTCTCATCCACCTTATTTTGCAGTGAGCCTTAAGGTTTTGGCACAAGGTGGGTGGTAATAGGCAAAAGGCAGATGTGGGCAGGGGTCCCTAGTGGTGGCCAGCAATCTCTGGGAGGAGTCAGTTTTGGTTTATCTGAGCCTTAGGGGACAGGAGAGCAGGGTAATGAGAACCACATGGTACCACATATTTCTTCATCTTGGATCCAAGATGGTAGGGGTGGGAGGATGAGAGAGGGATGTGGGGCCTCCCACTGTGGCAGCAGTGGGTGATTTTCTACCACCTCTCTCTGGCTGGGGCTCCTGYTGCCTGCACTCACACTGCACCCCCTATGTCCTGCAGCAACCTTGACCTGCACAGCACCAGCCAGGGTCCTCAAGCCAAGAATTCAGCTGGGAGACTTTTCACCTTCTTCCTTCTCACTGTCGTCTTTCCTGTTTATTTTCCAAATTGCTGCTCTGCAGCCGAGCAATGTCTGTTGGCCAAAGCTTACCAGCACTGTGGGATTGAACTCAGGCAATGGGCTCAAGTGGCCAGCAGGGCACTGGGGGAGGAAGTGGGGAACTGGAAGAGCCTCCCTGTGTGTCTCCCATGGGCAGCGCTAACCTCGGAGGCGGCCCTGAGCAGCCCTATCACATCCGGTGCTTGTCTCTGCAGCCGGGACCGGAGGATAAACTATCAGAGCTGTGGGGCAGTGCATCATTCCTCTTATTATTTTCTTCTCTGCAGATGGGGTCGTGGAAAGTTCAGTTCCTTTTAACCCTCAAAGTTCTGTTTATTCTACAGCTGGTAGCCTGAATGTGGCGTTTCCCATTACATCACAAAGGGGCTCAGGCAGATCTCTGCACAGAAACGTGTTGCAACTGTTTATTTTTTTCCATATTTAAACATTTCTGACAGCCAAACCCGGCTGAGCCAAAAGATGGAGCTTTGTGAATGAGTCTGGTTGTCGGTGTCAGTGGAGAGAGAAGCTTTAGAAGATTCTTATCCCACTGATGATTCTTCCCAAACATATTCTCTTTCCTGGGCAAAGCCTGTGAAGCAAGTTACTTCTGCAGTACACGTGTGTTGATTATGTGCTGTTGTGTGATTAATGGGGCTGTGTTCCGCCTGGTTCCCAGGACACTCTTGAAAACAAGATGTTTCATTTCATTGCCTTTTCCTAGTGCAGTGATTACAGTAAATAAACCAATGTAGCCTCCTTCCACCTGGGGCCAGTCAGGGAGTTCCCGTACCTTTCCCCCACGTTCTCCCCTAATGTTACCTTCAGTGGTATATCCTTTGAATCCCCTCTTTTCTGCCATTTTCCAAAGATTTCTAATCTTCAGGAGAAACAAATTGCTTAAAGGGTCTGAGGTCCCCTCCCTGGCAGGTAGGAATAATGCACAGTAACTCCCCAGGGGAGATTCCAGGATGATGCTTATAGCGCACTATCGAGATCCCTCCCTCCTTCCCTCCCTCTCTCCTCTCTCTCCCCTCCTCTCTCCCCCTCCCCTCCCTCCCCCCGCTTATTATGTGTTGCCACTCCACTTTTTGAACCTAATTATGAAGTTTTTTTTTTTTTTTTTTATAATTCTCCCGTGCATGTAAAGGAATAAAATTAAGTATCCATAGGATACTACTTGTTCCATATTCTCAGGTTAAAGTTTTTTTCTGGAGGAGAAACCCAAGTCTTATACATTTGTCAGGCACTTCATCTGACTAAATTTGAGGTATCCCTAGGCGGTCCAATATTTTTTTTAAAAAAGCTTGAATGGATTCTTAACACCCACCAAAGCAGGAATCTGAACCACAGTAGATGACTGCGCATACTGACAAGTGATGGTGGGATAGAAACAAATTCTCTTAAAAATTCTAACTTGGAATTTCAAATGGGGAGAGCCAAATTTTGTATTTTCAGTGTTTCTTCTCATTCACCCAGGCCCTGGTGATATGCAATGAGGATGACCAACCATTTTGGTTTGCTCAGAACTGGAGGCTTTGGGGAGATGTGATATTTCCAGTGCTAAAACCAGGACAGTCCCAGAATGTAGCTAGAGGAGAAAGGAGAAGGTGTGGGATAGTCAAGACAGCACTGATAGTGGTTCATCTGCTAAAATACATGTATGAGAGGCTATATCTTCCTGGACAGATCTTGGCAGGCCAGGAATGAGTTTTTTGTTTGTTTGTTTGTTTTGTTTTGTTTGTTGTTTGTTTGTTTGTTAGATCTATGTGTGTTTGTTTTCCCACTTATGGAGAAAATTTCTAAAGCATCGTAAGGGGAACACCCACATGACTTTCCTCAGTGACTGGACCCCATGTAGCTATGGCTGGAGAGAGGCTGGTGCCCAGTTGCTATCTGTGTGGCATATACTTGGCTCCATGGGAGGGGGAATTCTGGGAGCTGCCTCAGGCACTGGGTGTCTAGAGTGTTTGAGTAAGTGTCTTAGCACACTGTCTGGAAAGGTGACAGGACCTGCATTAGGCAACTGATCCTCCAAATTCTTTTTCCTCTCTGGTTAGGATTAAAAACTCCTCCTAAACAGTTTCAGCTTTGCATGGAGGGATATACACACACCCTAGATTACTGCCATGGGCACAATTTCRTATCCTAGCATTCTTGGTGTGATTTCTTGGCAGCTGCCAGCCTGGACAACTTTTGCTGCAAGAACCTTTCTGCTCATGAGTGCTGAGAATACTTTTATTGGTCTCTCTTTAGAGCTGCTCTTCTTTTCTGACCTTATTTCTCACAGGGTTGCTGTGGATGTGTGGTCAACACTGGCTGATTTCTGTAACATATTGACTGCGGTGAATCAGTCTGAGGTGCCACTGTACAAGGACCCGGACGATGACCTCACCCTTCTTATCCTGGAAGAGGATCGACTTCTCTCGGGCTTTGTCCCCTTGCTGGCTGCCCCTCAGGACCCCTGCTACGTGGAGAAAACCTCGGATAAGGTCAGCCCTAGGCCAAACTTCCCTCCCTATTCACCCCTCCTCTTAATTCTCCAGACTTTTTTTATTCTTGGGAAGTTTTCTGTGCAAACGGAACATGATTAAGTCACTGAGAAGGGTGTTAAGGGAAAATATCGACCTTTTAGCCACCGACATCCAGTTCTGTATTTTGAAAAAAAAGCCCCTTCGACTTCCTTTGGGGGGTGTGTGTGTGTGTGTGTGTGTGTGTGTGCGCGCGCGCGCGCACACGCGCGCGCGTTTGCTGGCATGTTGTATATAAGATCATTTCCTCACTTGTTTAAATAGTGCAGCTTGTGTTGGCAGTGCTCTCACTCAGCTCCAAATGGTTTGCATCATGCTTAAAGCACCCTCCTTCCTCCCCCCCCCCCTTCCTTCTTCCCCCAGCCACAAAACTCTGCACTAGGAAAACAGCCAGGGCTTTTTCCCTTCTCTAAGGAGGAGAGTGATAAATAGGTGACTAGAGAGAAGCAGACACCATGTGTTAACTTACAAAAAAAGCTTTTAGGAATATGAAGCATTCCCCGCCGCCTGGTTTCTATATTCMTTTCTCTAAGGGCTGTGTTTAACTTGAATACTTTTTCTTGTCTGTTTATAGAAAACAAAACCCATTCCCTGTTGCACTGGTGGGGACTTTGGAGCTCCTAGTCTCTGCTTAACAGTTGGGTCTTCAGCCAGGTAGAGAGTAGGGCAGTCCAGACTACTCTACTTTTCCTATGTAGCATTCACTCTGCTGGGGAAGTAGCAGCTACAGACTTGGGAGTAGTATCCTGTGCTGAAGACAGGGGCACCCTGTGCCTGACTTCTTGCACAGTTGTTAGCACCACATCTTGCTGGGAGAGATGCTTTTGGGGAGGAGACCACAAATCGCTTCTCRGGAGGAAGTCATTTGACCTAGATAAAGTGTATATTAGGGGACAAAGGTAAGCTTTCACCTTACTCCAATTAGAATGGCAAACAGTACAAAAGTATTAAATACAAACAATAAGTGCTGGAGAGGATGTGGAGAAAAAGAAACACACTTTTACATTGTTGGTGGGATTGTAAATTAGTACAACCACTATAGAAATCAGTATGGCAGTTTCTCTAAAGACCACCATATGACTCAGCTATACTACTCCTTGGTATTTATCCTGAAGAATTAAAGTCAGCAGGCTCTAGCAATACATGCATACCCATGTTAATAGCAGCAGAATTTACAATAGTCAAACTACGGCGCCAGTCCAGGTGTCATAGTGAATGGATAGATAAGGACAACGTGGTATATATGCATAATGGAGTTTATTTCAGCCATAAAGAAGAATAAAATTATGTCATTTGCAGGGAAATGAATGGAACTTTAGAGTATTCTATTAAGTAAAAAAAGCCTAACTCAGGAAGTTAGGAGTTGTATGTTATTTCTTCATGTAGAAGCTAGAGAGGAAAAAAAGGGGGGGGGGTGTCATGAAAATCAAATGGAGATCAATAGAGTAGAGGAGATGGGGGGAAGAAAAAGGAGAAATACTGGGGAATGATATTGGCCAAATTATATTGTTAAGTTTTATGCATGTACAAATATGTAATAAAGACTCCTGCCATGATGTACAACTGTAGTGTACCAATAAAAAAAATATGAAAAGGAAAAAAGCATACTCAATGGGCTCAGTAGTACACACCTGTAATTCCAGCTACTCAGGAGGCTGAGGCAGAAGGATCAGAAGTTGGAGGCCAGCCTGGGCAACTTAGTGAGACCCTATCACAAAATAAAAAGAGTTGGAGATGTAGCTCAGTAGTAAAGTGCCCCTTGGTTYAATCCCTAGTACTGTCAAAAATCCTACTTTTTGGATACATTAATGTTTAATGGATTTGAGRAATATCTTTTTCTTTGGCGGAATACTCATTTTAAGCCTTTCCAGCAAAAACTTAAAGAGTGAAACTCTGTACTTCTGGTCTCAGTGGATAATAATGTGGATGTGTTGCATGTGGGGCTGAGGACGGCTAACAAGTTGTTTGTACTCTTTGGAAGATACTAAGTTAGAAGGGAAACTGGATAACCATGGCTTGGGACACAGCATCCTTGTACTTTTTTTTTTTTGTGTGTGTGTGTGTGTGTGTGTGTGTGTGATCACAAAATAGTCTTGAATTCCACAGGGTGGTTTTAGGATGGCTGTTGAGTTACCTGTCTTTCAATGTAGGACAAGGGAAGAGTCCTCACCTGCTTCAGGCTTCGCATACCCCATCTTTACCCATCCATCAGCAGTCCCAGCTATAGTGTTAGGTACCAAACATAGGATCTGGCTAAAGAACACAGCACCCCAGTCCACCCTCAGCCTGTGGGAATGATGACCAGAATGCCCAGGAGGCAGTTGCAGCTCACTGAGACTTCAGGGACTGAAACAAGTACAACAAATGTAACAACTCCACATTCCACTTCACTTTCTAAGCCCCAGACCTGGTTTTCCTTCATTCTTCCCCACCTGGTGAGCATTTTTTCATGTACTTATTGATTGATTATATGTCCTCCTCTGAGAAGTGGCATTGATTATTGACTTGTTCCTGTCAAAATCTTGGGGTTATTCTTGGCTCTTCTTTTTCTCACACTTCTGTATCTAATCCATCAGCAACTCATGTCTTCTTTACCTTATACCTGCAGGTACAACTCTTTTCTTACCACTGCACCCTAGTTCCATTCATAGAAATACCTTCTAACTGGTTTCTGTGGTTCTCCCTCTTCCTACTCTTGGCTGTTTATAGCATAGCAACGAGAATGATCTTTTCACACATAATAAATCATTGCGGTTTTCTTCAGAACTTTCAATGGCTGTTCTTTCGCCTTTCATCCCTCCTTCCTTTCTTCTTTCCTTCTTTCCACTGGTGATTGAACTAGGGGTGCTTAACCACTGAGTCACATCCCCAGCCCTTTTTATTTTATTTAAAAAAATGTTTTGAGATAGCATCTTGCTAAGTTGCTTAGGGCCTCCCTAAGTTGTGGAGGCTGGCCTCAAAACTGCAATCCTCCTGCCTCAGCCACCCGATTCTAGTGGCTGTTCTTTCTTGAAAAGTCAAAGTTTTAACAATAGCCTTTGATGTCCTCCGTGATCTGAGTGCACCTTCACTACCTTCTCTGTCTTCAGCTCCTACTGCTCTCCTTGTTCCAAATATACTCTGGTCATATTGACATCCTTGCTGTATCTTAAGCAAACCCAGCGCTCATACCTAAGGGTCTTTGCAATTACTCCTCTTTTAACCTGGAGTGCTCTGTCCCTAGATTGTTGTATGACTCTCTCACTCCTATACAAGGTGTTACTCATCTTTCTTTTCTTTTTGTTTTGCTTTAATTTTCTCCATGGCAAGGAAAAATAATCATCTACCTATCATGTGTCAATCCCTGGGCTAAGTATGGCATACCATATTTCTTCTCTATAAACCTGCCATCTAAGTTTGAGTACCTTCGTTTTATTAAAACCCTTGTTTGTATAACTTCAAAACCCATGTTCTTTTTTTTTTTTTTTTTTTAAAGAGAGAGTGAGAGAGGGGAGAGAGAGAGAGAGAGAGAGAGAATTTTTAATATTTATTTTTTAGTTCTCGGCGGACACAACATCATTGTTGGTATGTGGTGCTGAGGATCGAACCCGGGCCGCACGCATGCCAGGCGAGCGCGCTACCGCTGAGCCACATCTCCAGCCCCCAAAACCCATGTTCTATCTGAGCATAAGAGAGCACAAGTTTGAGGCCAGCATGGGCAACTTAGCAAGAACCCATCTCAAAGTAAAAAATAATAATAATAATAAYTTAATGGCTGGTGATGTAGCTATGTCATAGAGCATCCCTAGGTTTAATCCCCAGTACCACAAAAACGAAAATAAACCATGTTCTGCTGGGTATGTTGGCTCATGCCTGTAACCTAGCAGCTTCAGGAGATGGAGGCAGGAAGATTACAAGTTCAAAGCCAACCTCAGAAATTTATGGCGGCCCTAAACAACACAGTGAGAACCCTGTTTCTAAATAAAATATAAAAAGGGTTGGGGGTGTGGCTGTATGGATAAGCGCCCCTGGGTTCAATTCCCAGAATAATAATAATAATAACAACAACAACAATACTAATAAAAATAAGTAAATAAACCATGTTCTAATAAATGACTAGATATCTAGGATTTACTTCAAAATAATTTGGCAGGGTGGGGCAGATAGACCTATAAATGTGGGGGTAATAAGCTAAACATTGATCATTGTTGAATCTGAATAAGGGCTATATTGAGTCCTTAACAGTATTCTATTTATTTTTTCTTCAACAGTGTTGGGGTTTGAACCCAGGGCCTTGCACATGTCAGGCAAGCACTGTTCTACTGAGCCTTATCCCCAGCCCAGTCTTCTACTTCTGTATGTGTGTAATATGCTTTAAAAAGAGGAGTATCTATCTTCTAAAAAAAGATTTTTTTCATGGTGTCAGGGACTTCACATATGCTAGGCAGCATCTCTAGTACTGAACTAAAACCTCAGCCCTGGAATGACTGGGTTTTTTTTTTTTTTTTTTTTTCAGGGGGTATAGTGCAGGGGGATAATGTTGAGGATTGAACCCAGGGTCTCACACATGCCAGACAAGCGCTGTACCACTGTGCTACATTCTCAGCCCCCTTTTTGGCGGGTGGTGGATAGTGAGGATTGAGCTCAGGGGCACTCAACCACTGAACCACATCCCTATTTAAAGACAGGGTCTCAATGAATTGCCTTGTTTTTTGCTGAGGCTAGCTTTAAACTTGAGATCCTCCTGCCTCCACCTCTTGAGCTAGAATTACAGGCTTGCTCCATCGCGCACAGCTCCCAGCCCTTTTTTGWTTTATTTTGAGATAGGGTTTTGCTAAGTGGCTCAGACTAGCCTCCAAATTGCAATCCTCCTGCCTCAGCCTCTTAGGTAGCTGTGTTTAAAGGCATGTGCCACCATGTCCAGCAGAATAACAATCCTGATAGCAAAATAAATAAAACCGTGTCCAGGCAAAATAATTATA